GTCTCTGATCGTAATTTAATAATCTTTCGGCTTTCCCATGCGAGCTACCCTCGGACTGTGACTTGTCTGGATTGAATCAAGGATCCTTGAGCTTTCTGGAGATCTCATTAATGTGTGTACATCAAGCTTCTACATATGCAGACATGGAGCAACCTTCTTTTATTGGCTCTTGATTCAGAAGACCGTACTTTTAAGGACTGTCTATAATTTTTTATTTGGTGCATTGCTTGTTTGCACGTTGAAGGAAAACCTACAGTAAGTGGTAGGAGAATGAGGTCTCTGGGAACTTCTCTTCCACAGATCACCAAGTTCAGTTCAATTGCTCAGTCTTGTCCCAGTTTTTGCGACCCCATGGACTGCAGCACGCCAGGCTTCCCTGTCCTTCACCAATTCCCAGAACTTGCTCAAACTCTTGTCTATCTTATCCTCTGTTGTCGCCTCCTCCTCCTGCTTTCAGTCTTTCCCAGCATCAGAGTCTTTTCTAATAAGTCACCTTCGCATCAGGTGGCCAAATATTGGAGCTTCAGCAACAGCGTCAACCTTTCCAATGAAAATTCAGGGTTGATTTCCTTTAGGATTGACTGGTTTGAGCTCCTTGAAATCCAAGGGATCCCTGAAAATAGAAGTGCAAAAGGAACCAGCTACAGACCAAGGTGTGGTGGAAAGATACTAATTTGCTAGTTACCCTTAGGAGGATGAAATGGTAAGTTACAAAGCACCTTTGTCATGATCTTTGTCATTATAAGAGAACTTGACAGTTCCATAGCAACTGACATCATTGAATACCACTTTCTTTTCCTTCCTTTGATTTCTTAGCCTCTAGAACACTGCACTTATTTTACTCACCCAGTCTCCTCACTCTTAAAGGTCTGATTCTTCTGCTGTTTTTCTTTCCACAGTATCCTGAGAATGTGATTCCTAAATCTGCACCTTTCCTGTGAGTTCGAGGTTCACATTTTCAGCTGCTTGTTGGATATTGTATATTTCTACATACCTCTGTCAGTTCTAACTCAAAGGTACTAAAAACTCCAGTAAACTGTTTGCTGATCTTTGTCCTTTTTGGTTCCATGATTCTGTCAGGTATCATGTTTGCTCTTTCCTTTCTCATGTCCTTTTCTCACTTAACAAAGATTTTTTACGTCTATATTTTTTTCAGCTCTTCATTCAACCTTTAGTGTATTCAGAAAGACTATATCAATAGACACTTAAGGAAGCCCAGTTAAACCTTTCTAAAACACTGTACGTTACCGCTGACCAAACAAATCTTTAGTGACATACCATTGCAGACAATAGTTGACATAGTCTTTAATCATTTTATTTTACTTGCAAATGCGATCTAATGTGAATCCTGTTTTTCAGCCAAATTGATTATCTCACCCTTCCATCAAAATGACTCATTATCCCAGGCAGTTGTGGAGGTTCCTGAATTTGAAATGTTTATTTTCCCTGTAGGAGAGGAAAAACTTCCTTATGCCTTATTAGATTTTGTGGCTGGGGCTAACAATGAAATTAACAGACAGATTGACAGGAGCAAAACATACAAATTCATTTACTATTTTTACATGTACATGAGAGTCTTCAGAAGAAATGAAGATCCAAAACTTCGTTAGGCCCGAAAATTTATATGTCATTTTACACAAAGAACAATAAACTGTGAGGATGAGACAAAACAAGGGGCTTAGGCTAAGAGCAGTAAATTGTATGACGGTGACTATTAAACATATGGAATAAACTAATGGAAAATAAGGGTTATTTTAGTAGGTTTGTTTATACAGGTCCATTTCAGTGTCAGTCCCATCTCTGGTGATAAGAATGTTCTTCTCTTCCTGGTAGAAGGAGGGCACATTTCTCATGGGAAGTTTTACGACAAACCTTTAAGTGAAGGTGGGAGGTCAGAGAGTCTTTCATGTATTTGCTGTGGCATATTTCAGGGTGGCATGTTCTAAACCCCTTCATTTTCTACCTTAGCTATTTAAATCTTGTTTCCTTATAACACCTTCTCATCCATCACATTCTCTTGAATGCTCCTATATATTACCAAGAATAACTGACATTTATTTGTGCATAATTATGTGTCATAGCTTTAATTTGCTTACCCAGTGAGACCATAGGAGGGGTCATGGTTTCAATTTTTTTTTCAGTTTCTTACAATGCCTGTTTCTTGCACTCTGTAGGTACGCATTCAACATTTGTAGAATGAAAGTGATTATGAGAAGTCATGAGTCTTGACCCTGACTAAAACTCATTTCTCATTTCCCCCCCATTTCTCCCCTCCATTTGCCCCTAAGTTTGGAGGCAAATAAAAATATGAACTCTAGCAAGACTTCTAATTTCTGGAAGCATTACTTTTCATTTTAACAAAATCATCCATCTTAATGACATTATTACATAGTAGTTGACCTGGAAAACATTGCTGATTTCTTTCTTCCTCTTGAGTGGCAAGAAGGGAGAGCACAGCTTTCCAGGATCTTCAGATACCAGATACTACCACTAATGTCTGCAAATTGAAATACCTAGGAAGATTTTTAATTTCCAAGCATGGTGGTTTCTAAATTATGGCACGTCAGTAGAGTTCCTTATGTACTCAGACTGATCTGTTTGCATTTACCCACCAATAACACTGCTGTTGGTCCAGGACTAAGGGAAATATTTACTGTCCTAAAAGATTATCAGCACGATGTGTCAATTCTCCAAAGTGGGATGTAACAGATGATTGCTGAGGTTCCGAAAGAAAGACATTGTATGCGTGCCTATGCACATAAAATTTTTATCTCATTATACAAATTTGCTGTTTTGCATAATAGTACATTATATAGTTAACAAACATACACATGCTCTGACTTTGTTATATCAGAGCCTTTGTTTCTGCTTCTCTTTAGCGTAAATTTCTCTCAGCTGTTGAAGACAGCTTAAAAAAAATTTTTGTTTAATTTCAATTTTTAAAAAAATTCTGGTTTCCTATCAGAAAATAAACAGTCATCTGAATTAAGGCTGCTTCCACTGTCTGTGTAAAAATTTTAGCTGGTATGCAAACTCAAATGGGAAGGAGAGGCTTGCCAATTCTCCAACATACAAAAATGAAAATTTTATAACTTACACTGGCCAAGTTGTAAAATGTCTTATAAATTTTGATTCTGCCTGTGGTTTGGAATTTGGTCCGTGGAAAATACAATTTAAGATCTATACAATAACTTTCTCTTCTTCTCTACTATCATCCATTGTTATCACACATCACTCACTTCAGAAATCACTAATTCCCTTGATCTCTGGCTTCCATCTAATACTGAAATTACTTACTTGTCAACATCTTAGACACCCCTGCCATCTTTCCTGCCTGACATAACCTCAAATTTGGATGAACTAAATAAGTGTACTCTCCATGTCTATGCCAAGGCTGCTGAGTTAAGCTGGAAAAAATAGACAACATTTAACGGACTGTAAATTCTGTCAATAGTGTGGTAGCCACAGAAATCCTCCTTTTCACTAGTCAGCTGACTCAGTGAGAATGATTCCTTCAAACTGTCTTCATTCTAAGCATCTGCTTATCATCCTTTCCATTCCCCAATTTTACATAAATTGCTTATTTCATTAAGAAAATACAAGCCATAATACTGAGCCACTAATGCTACAAATCTGCTTTTGTACTCATCCTCTGTATATTCCTTTCTGAAAGAATGCTGGTGGTGTCACATAGCTAAAGTAATCATTCCATCTTTGCAATGGCTCCAACATCCTCTGGACTATCAAGTGCTTAATGCTATTCTTCTTCTTTTTCTCTATCTTTATTCTTTCACTTTATACTTGCCCCTTTCCATCAGAATACAAAGAATTAGTAAGGTCGATCATGTAATAGTAAGTCTTCATGTAATAAATAGTAATTGAAAAAATAAAAGCCTTCTTAGAAACCACATCTTCTTCCAGCTACCACCCTTTTTCTCTACTTCTGTTCACAGCCAGATTTTTACAAAGTTTTTTTAATTGCTGCCTCCATTTATCCCAAATCTAATCAATCAAATAATTCTCTTGATTCTACATCCTATCTCAAAATCAATCACTATATCTATTTCTACTCTGGTGCAAGCCATCGTCATCTCTCCCTGACAATACTTCCTATCATTCCTACATTAATTTTTGCCCTCCAGTCTTTGCACAGCAACTAAAATGTTATTTTAAAAACGCAAATCTCATCAGATTAACTCCTTCATTAGAAGTCTCAAAGAGAAAAAAAAAAGTCTCAAAGATTTTCTTTGAACACACATCCTCATATATATATATATATATATAGTTGCTCTGGTAGCTCAGATGGTAAAGCATCTGCCTGCAATGCAGGAGAACCAGGTTCAATCCCTGGGTTGGGAAGATCCCCTGGAGAAGGAAATAGCAATCCACTCCAGTACTCTTGCCCGGAAAATTCCAAGGACAGAGGAACCTGGTAGGCTACAGTCCATGGGGTTGCAAAGAGTCGACACAACTGAGCGACTTCACTTTCTTTTATATATATATATATACACATATATATATATATATGACCTCATGGGATTTGGCCCTGAATTCTCTAACTTGGTCTTGCTCCCCATGTCATAATCTTACAAGTTTGTTTTCACTTCTGTAAAGTTGCTATGACCTTATCGACTTACACACTCTGCCTGAAATACTTATCTAGCATTCACCTCACTCTGACTTATCTCATCTTATGGGTTTCAGCTTCAACTCACTTTCTCAGAGCAAACTTCCCTAACCTCCCAGAGTAAAGTTTTCTAGATACATGCTTTCATTGTACCTTGTAATTTTCTTTGTAGCATTTATCATAAGCAGTTATTTACTTGACATTTATTTCCCTTGCTAGATGTAAACTTCATGAGGATTTTTGTCTTGTTCAGTGATTATTTCCCACATTACTTCCTGGGTCATAGCAAATATTCATACGTTTGTTTGTTGACTAGTTGAATGAATGAAAGAAAAGTCATAGTAAGAATATAAAACATGATAAGAACAAATCCTTTACAGTGAGAACAGATCTTCTTTTTATTCATATATTGAGATAAACTGCAAAGACTGAAAGACAAAAATTCATCATAAATCATTCAGCAGAACATTCATTAAAAATCAAATGCATTTTCTTTAATGGAGTTCTCACAGAAAATTTCATTTTATGTAAGTCTGATACAACATTAAATATTTTACAAATCAGACATTTTGTTTTTAAATCTAACTGTATAATCTTGAATGCACTATAGACAAATAAAATAAGATCTTTACCAGTTTCACTTCATTTAACTTATACAAGGCTTCCATTCCATTAAAATTTCATCACACCTTGAAAATTACCTGCAGCTTTTAAAAAACACATGATCTAAACTTTATATGGAAAGAAGTCTTATGTAGCAATCCAAAAACTGAAGAAAAAAAAAAAAAAAAACAAAAACGGTAAGAAGCATTTCTTAATACAAATAAATTACAAAAATACCATTTATGTGTGAGTTTCTTTCTTTTCACTGATACAGTCATCCATCCAGAGTGCAAAACAATTCATTTTAAAGTCAATGCTTAAAATACTCCAATGTCACTGAAAAATCTATATTTTAGTGGTACAATTAAATGGCAAGTCGAATATCAGATTAGAATGTCCCAACTCCTGTACTGAAGTGAATGAGACATTCACATTCATGCCAGATGTCATCTGTTATGCATTACCAGACAGTTTGGCAATCAATAATCCCAATTTTTAATGAAAACTTACTAAAACATTGCAAGAAACACTTCTTACCCCTACATATTTCCAGACTGCTGTAGAAAATACAATTATATTTGAAGTATGGGCCTTATAGTAGGAATCTCTGTTAAAATATGAAAAAGATCAACAAAAAGAACCCACACCAATGAAATTCTATGGACTGATTTTCAAAGTTAGAAATAAGAAAATCCACTGCTAATGGAAGCCCTGCACTGTGCAAATATAGTGTGGTATATATTAAACAATCACACATTTGAGGTATTAGCTGGAAAATATATATGTCTTTATCTATATATATACACCTATACATGGACACATCCACAGAATATTCACAAATCTATTGGCCCCCAAACCAGCAGATAATAAAATTAAATGAAAAGAAATGACATACCAACAGGAAAGTTACACACAAGGAATTTACAAAAGATGTGGTTACATAATCCTTAATATAAGGAATATGTTCTGAACTAGTGTTTTGAGGGAAAATGTTTCCATTTATATGAAACTGTCTATTTAATAGTAATAAAACCAAAAAGGAAGCCTGAATTCAAGGACTATATTGCCTGCCAGATTATTAAAGGGCTGTACAAGAGTTCTTGAAGATGCTCATTCTATGCACTTTTTCTTTAAAAATTAAATGAAAAAACCAAACAAACCAAAAACCTTTGAAGTTATTATGAGACTATATAGAGAATTTTATGAACTTCAAGCAGTAGTCCAATGTGGCCAAGAGAAAAGGTCTTTCAGCTATTTAGTACAGATTAAAATTAAGATCTATTGTTCATTTTCAGAAGGTTTTCTGTTAAAAAAGATTATAAATGCCCTTTCAGTTGGTTCACTCAGTACGAAGACAGAGTATAGTCTTCAACAACAGTAATATATTACAACAGTATAGTAATACTGAACACAAGCTATGGGTAAGCTAAGTAAGTACACAAATTCTCCTTTTGAATCTTTTGGTCTTTTGACATAATTCTTACTTAACTAAAAAGACGACTTATTGGTCCTCAGGCCAACATCATGGAATATTTCACTGCCTTCACACAGGTGGGAGATTTTTTTTTTAATGAAATCTGTTGAATGCATTATTAAGTAATATTAACATGTCACATCTGTTAAATAACACCAGCATTTAAAAATATTACAGACCAACAAAGGGAAGTCAAGAGGTTAATCATTTCTCTCAGTATCTATTTTACATACTAATGTAACTAAAGATGCAACAGGAAGAACACTTAAGCATGAAAGTGCAATTAAAATAAAGGGCTGGAATTCTCTCTTCCTGTTCTTAACAATAAAAGCTGAGGTGACATACAAGCAGAGAGGCCTAATGCACAGGCACACATGTACCTTAAAGATTCACTTTTCTCTACCAAATCTTTGTAGATCATAAATGAGAATGGAATGATTATGAAAGAAATACTTATCTAACCATTCAAATGCAGTCTGTTCCCAAAACATAGTTTCACTTATTATTTCTCATTGTTGAGAATTAAATTCTCAGATTTGCTCACAATAAATCCCAAAACTTACAAAGGACTAGCACTTATTGGGAAACAAAAAAATCAGAGGAGGAGCAGAAAAGGTACTATTTACTCTCCCCTAAAATCCTGCAAGAACACTGATGTCTGTGTGTGTTTAAGAGGGATAAAAATGTAAAGCATTAATAAATATAACTGCTTCCAAACTTCTAAAATACCAGTCAGAGAAGCTAGTAAAGCAATATTCAAAGACTGACAGCATTCATGCAATGATTAAAATGAAGAGGACAAGTTATCACATTACTGGAGAGCTCAGGTAGCTAAAAATATGATGGCAAAACATTGGGATTTTTGTTAGAAGAGCAGAAAAAGAATCTTACATTTCAAGATAGCTGACACTGAAAATCAACTATCCTTCGATTACAGAAACAAACAAACATAGATTAGGTCATTTTAGTTCGTAGAATTAACCCAAAATTCTAAGACACTTACTTGGACCGTTACATCATGACATATGTGACATTAAGGACTTACTCTTTACTTGCATACTTTACATGTAGCTTAAATTGTCAGGCACTCGATCAGTCCTTTACCAAAGTCATTTGAACATTTTATCAAACACATTTTATGAAATTTAATGTAATGCAACTGAAATATAATACTGTCCAAAAGTCATGTATGACTTCATAATATATAACTTCACTTAACATGATAACTTCACCTGTTCCTTTAAAATCAGGATTAAGGGAAAAACAATCAGTCAACAAGAGTTCAATTCACATAAACATCAATCACAATACTGTAAATTTCCCATTAAAGCCAGAAAATTAATGGATGGAATTTTTTCATTTAAATTTTTCTAAGTTCTTTGGTGCATATAAACTTTCAGTTAGTTAGAATGATATTATTTTATCTTTTTAGAAACTCATTCTATAGGCTGAAGAAAACATTTTAGATTATATTTTCTTTTAGGCACGGTAATTTAAGGTTACATTTCCAAAGAAAGTTGGTTAAGCTGTCCAGTTTTTCTAGGACAGTATCTTGCTTAGTTAAACGACTAATTCAATCAAGGCATTTCTATTGATAAGAGAACACTTAAAGAAGAATGGTCTTTTCAGAAGCTCTATTCAACAGATGCTATATAAATTATACTCAGGAAAAAAACTTTAAATAAAAGAGCACCACACTCTAACTAGCATTCTCCCACACACAAAAAAACCAAAGATGTGTTTATGTTCTGTTAAATGAGTATGAAAGCAAAATCATAAGACTAGGAATCAAATAGCTTCATATCCAATATATAGGCATCAAAAACTTCAATTTCCAGCTGATTTTTCTAATTTACATTTTTGGATGTAACTGTAAGGAGCTTATTCCTATAGGATTAATTGAATTACTAATGGTGAATAAATTTGAGCTGAAATTTTTGTAAAGATAACCTGCTATAAATCACTATTCTACCTGCTGCTATATTTCTGCTCACTGTTGCGTATGGCCAAACAGATCATGCTCTGATCAAGTAAGTGTGCTGTAATCTACGTATATGTTTAAGAGTTGGCAATCAGGTTAAAAGGCACAAGCTTCATTTTAGTAGTAATTTTTCTTATTACTTAGACAATAGTAAAAACCCATTTACTATGGATCCTGCTTAAATGATCACTAAGGAGAAACTGCAGATTTCCAGGGGGCAAGGGGTAAAACAGGTAGGTCCTTTTCTTCATAAAGTTTAACAGCCTTCAAAGATGTACATATGAACATTTGGGGGCCTTTTAGTTATTGGAATTGCAAATGACGTAACTGCAATTTACTGTTGAAGACCCTTTTTGGTTAATATTTATATAGCCATTTCCTCATATTTTCTTTAAAATCTATCAGTATAGCATTTCATGTCTATGCATGGCTTAGCAATTCATAAAACTAAATAAATAGCAAACTGATACTTTACACCAGTTCATTTATCTCAATATATACTTTAGAATATAATGGCAATATTAAAAATACCAATTTTCTCTAAGCTGATAATGCTACAAGATTTTACACAAGTTAAACAGCTTTTGTTTTTTTCTTCTTTTTGATAAAAGTTTCATTGTAAACTCCACACATTTGACATCTGACAAGAAAAATGTAATTTTGTCATAAAACATTTATTCCATCAATTTAAACTAAAGTGTCTCATGGAGTTAAACCCAAAAGAATTTAAATAAAAAGGCAATAAACTGTATATACACAAAATGATCATTCCATAAATATTTACATGACAAGGGAAAAAAATGGAGGATCTAAAAACCAGAAATTGCTACAGGTAAGATAATCCTTTCTCAAGACATTTTTAGTTAGGAATCATATAAGCTTTTAAAGTAAAAATAATTACAGAAGCATAACTAAAATAATAATTTTAATTTTCAGTTTCTTACTATTTAAAGGAGCCAGTAGACCATAAACAGTCCAAGATTTCAGGATCAACTATTCAGTTTAGTTTTCAATATCAAATCTTTTTCTTTAGCTCTCATGATGAAACTAAACTTACAGAAAAAATAGAAAGTACTCTAAAAGGTATAAATAAAATTCCCATTCATCCTCCTTTATAAATACTGGTCAGTCGCTCCAACTCTTTACAGTTGTCCATGCTTAAGGCTTCTGCCTTCCTTCGGAGTCGTTCATCATGGTAAACTTTTGCTGCATACTGCATATCTGTTTCTGTTAACAAACAAAAATATTTTGCTAGGTAAATAATTTAGATCAACTAGTTGTTTAAACTCATGATGCTTCATAGAAGCCCTTCAATATATTTCTATTAATTGTTTTTTATTTTAAAATTTATTTGGCTAGGCCAGGTCTTAGTTGCAGCACACAGGATCTTCAACCTTCACTGTAGCATGTAGAATCTTTAATTTTGGCATGTGAACTCTTAGTTGCTGCATGTAGGATCGAACTGGGGACCCCTGCATTAGGACCTCAGAGTCCCAGCCACTGGACCACCAGGTAAGTCTCCTATTATCTGGTTTTTGTTTGTTTGTTTGTTTGTTTTTTTAAAGAAACCCAAGTACTAGACCTAAAAGCCATGTGGAGTCCTACCATGTAAAATAAATACAAGTTGCTCTAGAAAAGAAATAAGGATAGTATCGTATCAACCCTTTCCCTCCTCCACTCCTGTCCCCAAAGGTTTAAAAACAACTGCCCTAAAGCATCCTCTTGATCTCTTTCCCCAAAGATATCATATGCTATTCAATACTGTCAGTGGTTGTTTTTGCTGTGACCTTTATTGAAGTTCCAGATTAATTAATTATGCTGAGATCTGAGAAGAAAAATTTACAATCTTGTTCTGAGTTTATTTGAATTAATGCAGGGGCCCAGGTTCGATCCTTTCATGCCACAGCTAAAGATCCAAGTGCTACAACTAAGATCTGGCACAGCCAAATAAACCAATAATTTTTAAAAACCATATATACTAAATTTATTGAAGGAACACAAAAAAGAAAAAAACCTTGCTATACAATCAGAGTAGTGGTATTTAGCAAATAAGTACTTTTGAGCCTTCCTTCAATATGTAGGTAACATTAGTAAAGAAATATAGACTAGAAATCAAACATTCTTCAGGGAACATATTCCTTGTCATTTTCCTGGTGGTCTCAGCTATTTTACTATTAACACTTCTAAAGGGTGGGAGCAGTTTAGATAAGATGTAACCAAAAACAGTGACTAAATTAGAAGACATCAATCAGGACCATAGTCAAAATAAACTCATAGATAAGAGTGTAATCTATTTGTAAAAATCTTCAGAAACAGAAATGATCAGTTAGGTTAGGATTTAACCAATCAATAGAAATCATTCCACTGCTTTTATAAGTGAGGCACTTGTAAAATCCATCTGCAGATGATTCTTTTCAAGTGAGGTAGATAAACCAAAGTTCACAGAGCTAGTAAATGGCAGAGTCTAGATGCCAATTCAAATCTTTACATCCTAGCCTAATATTCTTTCCATTACCTCAAATTACTGCTTGTATTTTATAAAACACCCATTTTACCAATCTAGACCTCTGACAGTATTAGAAGTGACTTCAAAACAGAAAAATGCTAGCAAAAGAGTATCCAAGCCTTTAACCTATAGATATTAATTTTATTTTAAAAATTTCAAATATATACAAGTTAAAGAGTACCACAATAAACACTCTAAAGCCCTTTACCTTGACTGACTAATTTTTCACATTCTGTCAAATCTGCTTTAGCATTCTACACTAAAGGCTGCCATTACTGTTGTGGTGGCAATTATTTGGAAGAACTTTTTGAGAGTAAGTTACAGGCATCATGACCTTTCATTCCTAATACTTCAGCAAGTTTCTCCTAAGAACAAGGGCATTCTCTTATATAACCACATTACAATTTTCAAATCCATAAATTTAACAATGACATAATACTATTAGACATAATACTATTATCTAATACATAGTCCATATTCAAATTTCACCAATTGTCCCAATGATGTCCTTTATAACTGTTTCCTCTCACCCAGGATTCAATTTAGGATCACATACTATATTCAGTTGTCATGTCTCTTTGTCTTTAAGAGCTTTGTCTTGTTTCATTGATATTTTTTAACACAAGCAAGTTGTTTTACAAATGACTTAAAACAGATTTACCAAAAAAAAAACCAAAAACAGATTTAGCTAAAACTTCTGATAGTAACTTTAAAAGACACATGTAAATGTGTACAGTATAGCTATAGACAATGTGATATAGTGGACAGAAGATGGACTGAAGGGTCCATGAAACCAATTGATAGCAATCTTGTTGAACTGTTGAGAGATTAAATTATGCCAAGAAAAACCACATGACTCATGCTAGGGAAGGAGTAAAACAAAATGATAATAAATAATAATATAGAATACATATGGGTACAAGGCATTATGCTAAGTGTTAACAAATATTATCTGTTCTGGTCCATATTTTAATGATGAGATAACTGAGATTTAGAGAGGTTAAGTAACTTGGCCTAGGTAACTGTGTTGCTGAAGCCAGGATCTCACAAGGGATTCCCAGAGTCAACACTTTAAACATAACATTACACTTTCATCCATAAATGTGAGTATCTTTCCTCCTTTCTATTTTTGCAGTCACTTCCCTATTATTTAAGGTAATAGAATATAAGCATGCAAAACTCAAAAATCACCCGTTTTTAGCTGGGGACTAGAACTTGTATTTGAAAGTGATATATCTAATGTGCTCATCATTCTTTTAGCACAAAATACGTAGGCCTTTCATTCATTCATTCATTCATTCATTCATTCATGTGTGTGTGAGTATTAGTTGCTCAGCTGTGTCTGACTCTTTGCAACCCTATGGACTGTAGCTCACCAGGCTCCTCTGTCCATGGAATTCTCTGGGCAAGAATACTGGAGTGGGTTGCCATTCCCTTCTCCAGGGGATCATTCTAACCCAGAGAGTGAACCTGGGTCTCCCACATTGCAGGGAGATTCTTTACCATCCGAGACACCAGAGCCCTGTCATTCATTCATACGAATCCATTACTCATTCATTCAATAATTGTGTGCGGTACTACAGATTAAAAAATTAAGTAAAATAAAATTAAATAAATAAAATTTGATAAATACTTCTCTTAAGACATTTGGCTAATGCACAGTTTCTCAACCTCAACAATACTGGCATTTAGGGCCAGATAATTTTTGTTGTGGAGGCTGTCCTGTGCACTGCAGAATGTTTCAGCAGCATCCCTGGCCTTAACCCATTTAGATGCTAGAAGCAATTTCTTCTACTCCCACCCCATGCTGATGCACATTGTTTCCATACATTATCAAATGTCCACTGGGAGGTGGGAGCAAATCATTCCCAGTTGAAAACCACTAGTCTAAGGTAACCTTCTCCACATTGGAAACATACTGATTCACAGACTCAGAAACCACGGAGGTTTCTACTCTATCAGTATATAGATGAAGAAACCAAGGCTAGAGAGAAGAACTCTTTGAGAAGTATATAAAGGTAATGTTTTATCAAATTTTCCCCAGTAGATAAGAGATAATGTTAACTGCTACCATTTTCTGAGTATTTACTACATGTGAAACACTTCAGCTATTCCCTGATTTAATTTTCATAACAAACCCATAAAGTTAGGTATTAATGAGAAGACTATAGAGCACACTACCTAGATTCTGAAAGGAAATAGGTTTTGAATCACAGATTACCTTAATGACCTTGGCAAGTTATTAATTAATCTCGCTTTGGCACAGTTTCCTCATATGCAAATTGGGTATAATAACCTCACAGTGTTGTTGTAGATTTATTTCTCTTCCCACTCATCATTATCATCCATCTTATACATGAGGTTAGAATATTTGGTACTAATCGCTCAGCTAAAAATTTCAGAGCTAGGATTCAATTTCAGTCTATTTAATCCCAAAGTCTATACTATATAATCTATGTTATGACTTGGAACAGCAAGAAAAATAAAAAACTATAATAAACAGTTCACAAGGAACATCTCAGCATATTCTTATGGTCAATCTTTTTATAGATACAACTACTTAAATTAAGGAAGCTGAGGCTGGATGATGCTAAACAATTAGGTGTTCACAAGAACTTCTCTACATACAAAATAAGTAAAGGAAAATGAATTGTCAACAAAACTCATTGTACACTAACACTGCTACCTGTTGAAGCTAAATTAATGAGTTTCAAAGTTAATTCTGAAACAGGATGCATATTAAAACTGATGATACATTGTTTATGCCAGGACTTTCTTTCTTAGTGATCATAAAATAATGATGCATATTACAACCATCAACATCTTAAATACAATGAAATTTGACACTATCTACTTATTCCACCTATAGTTACTAAGAACAACAATAACACAAATACCATTGTCTTTGCCATGTGCCAAATATTGTTATAAGGCTGCAAGTACATTAAAACACATTGTCTCACTTAAGTACCGGGCTCCGGGTAGGTGCCAGGCAATTTTAGAACACCTCTTGAGTAAGGAAATCTTCAGTAATCAATTCCAAGAGTCTGAATAAGTTTTTAAATGTTAAACATTTAAAATGTAAACTTACTTTGTTGTCTTTCTTTCCAGCAATTATTTCGAATATTAGTCACATAATCTTCTTCCACACTCTTTTCTACTTTTTGTAGTAACATTCCTTTATATTCATTTTTAAAGTCCTTATTGACATAATAAACGACACCCAAGTTTTCTGTCTGCATTTTAATTGTTTGTCCTGATCCACTGTAAAAGAAATGTTTGATCATTATTTTTTAATTAAAAGTGTACATTTTGATCTGCTTCTACAAACCAAGCTAACAAAAACAATTAAAAATAATTTAAAAATTACTATTGGTAATCAAGTAGTTATATAATTTCAAATTGCCTAAAGCTACTTTTTAATGTCATAAAAAAGTAATCATATTTTAATACATTATGTTCTTATAAGTTCTCTCAATTTTTAGTTAGCAAAAATCTTATTTGGAAGAAATAAATTATTTGTAGACCAATCATTGTAATACTATAAAAGAACTAGTAATATGGTTTTACAAGGTTTCCTTTATCTTCATTGTATTATACTAAAGTTTTTTAGAATGTATACTGCATTAAATTTGCTTTGTCCTGATCGCTTATAGAGTATAATATATTGTGGAAAAATACATAAAGTAATATTTGCTTTTATTTAATCAATATTTTATAAACAGAAGAGTAACATCATTTCCACTTTAATGACACACATCTATATAGCATCAATCACAATTCTACTTTTGTCTTTAAAGTATTTTTGTCTTCTGAAGGTTTTTGTCTTTGATGTCAACCCATTACCTATTATATAAAATTGCTATCAGGTTTGAATATAGCACTTCTGTCCTTATCCACAATAGAACAGAAATGTAAACTAACATAATACAAACTTACTGCTTAGGTAAATTCTTTAAAATTAAAGATTTTTAAATGGTACACATGAAGTAACAGAAGATTTGTCACTTAAAAGTTTAAAAGTGCACAGGGCCCTTTAAAGTTATCCAAGTAAAAAACAATTTTGGGGGGGGGGTAGAACTTCACTTAGCTACTTACGATCTGGGATATAAGGAATAAGGAGGATTAGAGACCATCAACTGGCTTAATAATGAAACGAGGATCAATACGATAATAGGCATCAGCTGGATAAACACAGAAAAACCTCCCTGTAAAAAATCATCAAAAAATAACAAATTGCAATATAACTGTAGTTGTCAATAATCCAACAGTTGTCAAATATTTTTAGAGGCAAAAATGACATTTGAGATCATCTGATTCAGTGCTTCCAAATCTGCCTGATCAAACCAACTTCCTGAGATGATTCTTAAAAATACAACTTTTTAGGTGCTTCACCTAGAGATCCTGACACTGATCTGGAAAACACTAATATATCCTGTTCATGGGGTTCTCAAGGCAAGAGTACTGAAGTGGTTTGCCATTCCCTTCTCCAGTGGACCACGTTTTATCAGAACTCTCCACATGACCCGTCCATCTTGGGGGGCTGTACATGGCATGGCTCATAGTTTCATTGAATTAGACAAAGCTGTGGTCCATGTGATCAGTTCAGTTAGTTTTCCATAATTGTGGTTTTCATTTTGTTTTTTCTTCCTTGGAAGAAAAGCTATGACCAACCTAGACAGCATATTAAAATGCAGGGACATTACTTTGCCAACAAAGGTCTGTCTAGTCAAAGCTATGGTTTTTCCAGTAGTCATGTATGTATGTGAGAGTTGGGCTATAAAGAAAGCTGAGTGCCAAAGAACTGATGCTTTTGAACTGTGGTATTGGAGAAGACTCTTGAGAGTCCCTTGGACTGCAAAGAGATCCAACCAGTCAATCCTAAAGGAAATCAACCCTGAGTATTCATTGGAAGGACTGATGCTGAAGCTGAAACTCCAGTACTTTGGCCACCTGACATGAAGAACTAGCTCATTTGAAAAGACCCTGATGCTGGGAAAGATTGAAGGCGGGAGGAGAAGGGGACAATAGAGGATGAGATGGTTGAATGGCATCACTGACTCGATGGACATGAGTTTGACTAAGCTCTGGGAGCTGGTGATGGACAGGGAAGCCTGGCATGCTGTAGTCCATGGTGTCACAGAGTTGGACACAAATGAGTGACTGAACTGATATAATTTTACAGATTGAGTGACTGAACTGAACTGATCTCATTTTACAGATGAGGAAGTTCTCCATCTCCCTCTTTTTTTTTTTTCCATACATAGACTCTATCAATACACAGCAGGTTGCAAAACTATTTTTACCTTGGATTTGAGGGTGGAACGTGGACTCTGATGAAAATGGCAGAGCTGGGACCCAGACCTTTTAATTTCTAGTCTAGAGCTCTTTCCATTTACCTTTCTCCTTCATGTAATTTAACTGCTATACGTAATGAAGTATAACTGCATTAGAACAAGGAAAGTTACTTCTAATTTAAGTTGTTCAGTATTAATCCTAAATTCTTTGACCCAACAATAAGAATTTGCCTTAGGGACATGGACATTTGAGGTTTATCTTCATTCAGACCATAGAATATCAAATGTGAAGGTGTCATATTGCCCAACAGCCTGCCACCCTGACTTCTTCTCCTGGCCCCCAATATCCCTAGGGGATTCTCTGGTCTATACTGAACACCTCTGGCAAAAGAAAATTCATTACTTCCTTTTAAAACAACATGATCTATTTTCAGACAACTCTATCCTTTCCCTGAGCTGAAATTTGCCGTTTTCTGATTTCTAATCATATCATAAACATACATCTCCTCTTTCTTCTTCTCTTTCATGTCCACTATGTCGATGCTGATGTTGATTGCTATAACCAGCTCGTCCATTTGAAAATGAATGTACACTACCTAGAAAATTAAAAGCAAGGTTAAATTAGGGAGAAAAGTTATGATCAGAAAAATTATGTTTTCCTTTATATTTTTATTTTTTTAATTACTAAAATAATGCACATATGACTAATGAACTTTTATTGCCCTCCTGTGTATGAAGAGTGGACAAAACCTGGAATGATTCTTCTTTGTTTCCCTTAAAGTAAAGGAGAAACTCTCCCTTGATGAAAACCTGAGTAAGAATTCCTCTCTAATACTGCATACAAACAGGACTTTTGTTGTGGCTGGTTGATTTTACAAACCTGGGATCATTAATCTGAAACTCTGCCTTCTGCATTTATCAATGAAACACAAGTACCTCTAGAAATCAAATGATACTACTTTCATTCATTAAAAAAAAAAACAGCTGCATAATATACTATGGTACAGGTGGACTACAACTTTCCAACATTTTCTTGTTGATGACATTCAAGTTGTTTTCAAAAAAAGGTGACCAATGAGCAATGGCTATCACTGATAAAGTAAACTATGTTAAGACAAGAAAAAAACTGAAGATCAACTATCAGAAAGTCACTATTTCCTAAAAGATTTCTAATTGTTCCTAGCATATTTTTAATCAAAATTATTAGCCTGAATAATTTTTCTATGAGAGGGAATTATATATCCTAATATGTCAAGGTTATATTTTCAGTCATTAATTTGTTTTACATATCCTCTTTCTTTCAAGGATGTTTTACAAAATACCTTATCAATGACCACAATGTGTCTCAATAATATTCAGACAGTGCTACCACGCCAAATTATACTGCTACATTCATAAAGACTCTCCTAATTTTGAATGGGATGTTTAACTCAGCACCTTTTTATTTTTTAAACTGTGGTAAACAAGACTAGAGCTATAATTTTAAACACCTGAGAGAAGCTACTCTTAGAAAAAATTAATTTCCACACAAGCAACTCACAGTAAATGTAAGTAAAACTCAATACTACATACGCTGTCTATTTATTTAGTAATACTTCTACAGTACTTTACTTTGATAGCCTAGTTCAAGTAATTATTTCTATCTTAATGTAATGTAAGTTGTTAAAACCCACTTACTTTATATAGAACCAGATATTCAGATATTTTAATATTTCAATGGAAAGTATCTCCACATGTATTCATAATATATCTATAATGCTATTAATGAATTATCTATGAAGATCTTCAAAGAACCCATGTCAAATAGCCCTCCAAGAGACAGATTACTTCCTATAGTTGTAATAGCATTTAACTAAGACATTGTCACTGGATTTCCTACTTATAGATCCTTTCTTAAGCTTTATGTAAAATACAGAACATCTTTTTAAAATTAAAATATATTCTGGGAAAAAGACAGACTTACAATAAAGTTAATAAGTCTACATTTTTCTCCTATTTTTATGAAGAACTATCACAGGATCATAATACTATAAGAAATGTCAGAGAGAGGCACATAAATCTCTAAACAGCCTAATTGGTGGTGAGGATCTCTAGCTTCATAAAATATAATATTTATAATTAATACTAAAATACCTGAAGGAAATCCTCCACCAAAGAATATATTAAACAAATCTTCTGGAGTTATATCAGCTTCACAACCTCTATGGAAATTAAATCTACCATTGTTCTGCTGATTACATGCTTGTTCTTCATTGCCTGTGAGGTCATACTGCTTTCGTTTTTCTGGATTGCTTAAAACAGCATAAGCATTTCCAATCTCTGAAAAAGTAATGAGAAGTTGATAAGCAAAGTTTTTATGTTAAAAAAGACTGTACCATATAAAAGCTACTTGTCAAACAACAACAAAAAATACTTGAGGCTAATCAGAAAACAAAACAAAAAGTAACAATTTCTTTTAAAGGTATTATATACATTGCTTGTAATTATATGTATTACCTTCCAATACAATTTTTTATATTGTACAGTCTCCCTACTGCCTTGAACATAAAGGAATGCCCATCTTGCTCTCTTGCTATTGTGCTCTATCCCCTAATAGCCTGCTATTATTTCCTGTTTGAGTATCCTAATCTAGTCACTCACTAGTGCCCTTCAAACCAATAATAACAGCAATAGCTACCAACTGCCAGGCTCTGAACCCAAATATCTTATTACATTATCCATTACTATTCCCACTTTACAGATGAAGTTCCCAAGTTTCAAAAAGGTTACAAAACTTGTTCAAGATCAAATTTATTTTAGCATAGTAAGCTAACTCTCTGCAACCTACACCATAAAACTTTTTTTTGCACATGCCAGCCCAGAGTGAGCTATTCTTCATTCTAATCCTGAACAATTTATTTCTCTTAAACTGTCAACTCCATGAAGGTAGGAATTGTGTGTTTCATTGCAATATCCCCATAGTCTAGCACAAAGTCTGAATTTTTAAAAAATGAATCCATATAGTCTCTAGTTTTCCTATCTTACTTTGCTACTTTGTGATAGTCATAAAAAGTTTGATTTCCTATCTCACATTTCCATGTCCAAATGAGCACATTAATTACCAAAATGTCTTCTTGAGGTAATTCACAAAAACTGTACTGCTTTAATCTAACAGCAGGAATTACCCTATTCTTATTCTGAAACTTCTAATAACTAATCATTTCATAAATACAACTTGCTTCTCAAACTAGATCATAAGCCTCTTGCATATGGGATTATTTTTAAAATACTTTATGGATCCCATGTGGTGGTTGTCATAGGTACTGAGCAAGCAAATACATGCTCATTAGGTAGTTGTTTCTGGATGACTACATATCACATTGAAATTAATTATATGCAGATACTCTGGAACTTTTCTATGATTCAGAGATAGCTTTCCAGTCATCTGTGAACACTATGGAATGAAAATTTAGGTGAATAGTCCATTTATCTTGAGGAGATGGCCCAAAACTTTCCTTAGATTTCCAAACAGAACTATGACTCAGAAATATAGCAATCATTTATAATGTTGATCCAATGGGAAACCATAATCAGAGATCCAAGTAATGTACTTATAAACACCACCAAGGTACATACCCAAAAAAGAAGCATATCTATCAATATCTGCCAAAGTTGTGCTTCCAGTATTAGTAACAGTTTTAGGATTCTTAACCTCTATACACTGAGCCTATTTCAGGTTCATAATGCTATTACTTTTTAAACTATTAATATATTGGCAACTCAATTCTACTTCTAAGGCCTTGCTATAAAAATAACTTCCAAATGCTATGATATTTTAAAAGATATTTGTGAACAATTGTCATAATTCATAATTGTATATGTAAGACAATTTAGTCTATCTACTGTGACTAATTTTCTATTTATTTACCTTGTGCTATACCTATAATCAAGATTTTTTTCAGTTCTTTATTATCTTAATAATTAAAATCAAAATTCATTTTGGTATTCAAAGCCTCACAAAATATATTTCCATCTCAGTGTTGTTTACTTCACAAAAAGATACATTCTACTTTATTCTTTTTCCTTTAGTTACACTGTTTATTTTGAGGTTAACTTTAGATTCATATGAAGTTGTAAAGAATAATATAGGTAGACTCTTCTACCCATTACATAATTTCCCCCATGGTAATACCTTACAAAATTATTATATCAAGGATACTGACATTGATAACCATCACCATCTCAGGCTGCCCTTTTATACACACACCTACTTCCTTCTCCTCCTTCCCCCTTTAACTCCCCACAACTACTGACTTGTCTTCTCTATAATTTTGACATTACAAGAACGTTAAATCAATGAAATAACACAGTATTTAAATGGAATGAAATCTCCTGGACTGACTTTTTTCAATCAGCTTAATTCTTTGGAGACTGAACCAAGCTGTTATGTAAGTCATTCATTCCTTTTATTGCTGATTAGTTCGCCACAGTATGGATGTATCACTGTTTCACTACTCACCCAATGAACAACATCTGGGTTGTTTCTAGGTTTCGGTTATTACAAATAAAACTGCTATGTACATTCATGAACAGGCTTGTGTGTAAATATATATTTTTATTTCTAGGATGAATTCCTAGAAACGCAATTGCTGGGTTGTCTATTAGTTAAATACTTAGTTTTGTGAGAAACTGCGAAACTGTTTTACAGAGTGACTGTGTCATCTCATAACCCATCAGCAATGTGTAAGTGATCCAATTACTCTGCATCTGTACCAGTATTTGGTATTCCTACTTTTTAAAATTTTAACCATTCTGATAGGTGTGCAGTAGAATCTCATTTTGGTCTTACTTTGCAATATCTCTAATGGCTAATGAATGATGTTAAAAATGTTTTCACATGCATACTTGTCATGTGTATAAAATCTTTAGCAGGATGTCTCTTCATGTCTCATATCCATTTTCTAATAGGGTTGTCTATTTTTTAAACTGGGAGTTTGGGGGAGTTCTTTATATATTCTGGACACTAGTCCTTTGTCAGATAGGTATGTGCTTGGAAAATATTTTCTCCTTCCTTGTTGCTTATCTTTTCTTCTACTTTATAACATCTTTGCAAAGCAAACAAAAAAAGTTTTTTATCAAGTCCAACTTATCTATTTTTGTGTTATAAACTGTCTAGTGTTAAGTCTTAAGAAGTCATTGCATAGCCTAAGATCCTAAAAATTTGCTCCCATGATTTTTTGCTAAAAGTTGAAGTGTTGTTTTGGACTTTATAAGATTCATGTTGAACTCATTCTTATATAAAGCATGAGACTTATTTCAAGGTTAAATTTTGTTGTTTGTTTTGCCTATGAATGTCCAGCTGCTCTAAAACTATTTTGTTGAAAAGGCTATCTTTCCTCCACTGAATTCATTTTGCATCTCTGTCCTATCTTTATGGGTTCCCATCCTGTTCCACTGATCTGTGTGTCTCTCCTTCTGCCAATTCTATACTATTTTGCTAACCACAGCTATAAAGTAAGTCCTGAAATCAGGTACACTTATTACTCCTACTCCTTTAATGAATCATTTATTCAGGTTCTTTGTATTTTCCATATGACTTTTAGAATAAACTTCCTTTTATCTACAAAGAAGTCTGTTAAGACTTTGACAGGAACTGTATTAAATGTGTGTGTCAACTTGGGGAGTCTTGACATCTTTACTATTATGGCTTTCAATCTATGAACATGATATATCATTCCATTTATTTAGATCCTCTCTGATTTCTTTCATTAATATTATATAGTTTTCAGCATACAAATCTTATACAAGTTTTGTTAAATTTACACCAAAGTATTTCTTGTGTGTGAGTATAAATAGTAATGCATTTTTAAATTTCAGTGTCTACATGTTAGTGTGCAGAAATATACTAAATAGTATATATTAGTATGCAGAAATATACTAAATAGTAATTGATCTTTTTATGTTTATCTTATACCCTGAAATCTTGCAGGATTCACTTATTGGTTCTAGGATTTTTTTTCTTTTTGGTACATTCCTTAGGTATTTTATACATGATCATATTATTTGCAAATAGGGACAGTTCATGTGCCTTTCATTTCTTTCTCTCACCTAAATGTACTGATTAGAATTTTCAACACTATGTTGAATAACTTATATTTGATTTGTTTTATAACTAATTTTCAGTTGTACTTTAGTGTGAATAACAGGGAAAAGTCTTCCTGAAAGTGGAAGTCCTCATTGACTTTTAAATCACTTCCCTCATTCTCATACCCAAGTTTCTGCCATCTTCTCTAACCAAAGAAATCATACTCATCTTGAAAATACATAATTCTCACCTACAATATGAAGGCTTCTTCAATTACTCTGATTATAACTCTACTGTATCTTTCTGGCTTTTCTTTGGATATCTTTATTCTGTTTTGAACTTTAATTACATTCAGTCTTCTGGGAGATCCTGGGTAAATCAGTTAATCTATTTGAGACTCAAATTTTCTTACTTGCAAAGGGATGACACTGGTCCCTGTTTACTTCAGAAGATTTTTAATAGCATTAAAGTTTTAAAAATGGGAATGATCAGAAGTGGGATTGCTGGGTCATATGGCTATTATTACAAATGTTCTATGTGAGATTTGTCTCCTCTTCATAAATTACAAATTCATTTAATAAGATGATATCTCATATTTTCTTCTTGTATTTCTCTAGAAGAACTAGCCCATAAGGTAGACTGACTTCTCTATTCTTAGAAATTCACTCTAGATGTTAAGAATACTGAGGGGCTTCCCTTGTGGCTCAGTGGTAAAGAATCTGCCTGCCAATGCAGATGACACAGGTTCAATCCCTGGTCCAGGAAGATCCCACCACATGCCTCGTATTAACTAAGCCCAGGAGCCACAACTACTGAGCCTGTGCTCAAGAGCCTGGGAACCACAACTACTGAAGCTCATGTGCCCTAGAGCCTGGCTCTGCAATGGGAGAAGCTACCGCAATGAGAAGCCTACTAGAGAGGAGCCCTTGCTTGCCACAACTAGAGAAAAGCCCATGCAACAATGAAGACCTAGCACAGTCAAAAAGAAAGAAAGAAAAAAAAGAATACTGAACTACCAGACCTGACATAGACAGTAGCATCTGATCCATTATTATTTAACAAGCAAACATACAAACAGCTAATCAATGCCCTTTGTAATCAGATTCACGCTTATGTCAACAGGCACATGTATTATTCAAACAGTCTATGAAATACTTGGAGTCTTTGAAGATAATGCAGACAGGGCATGTTTTGAAAATATCCACATCAGAGAGAAGGAAAGGGATCCATTTCAAATATTTTTAAAGGTGTGTTTATATATATTATGCAAGTTATTGTCTAGATGTAAATAAAATATTCCCTGCCTTGAGAAATTCACAAACCTAGTTAAAGGACAGAGTTACATGAACTTAAGAGTTCATTTAATCTACCCTCTTTGATGGTAAGCTTTTGTTTTTAAAGTTTTACAAAACACACAATGAAAATATCTCTTCTATCTAATCTCATTCCTTAACTAATTGTCTCTTTTTCTATTCTAGAAGGGAATTTTTAAAAAAATGGTTTCCATCTTCTGTAAAAAAGTATTTTAGCAATCACAGAGCAATAAATCTATACTTATCTCTTATGCAAACAAAAAACTATTAGACTGAATAGCTTGGTATCTCAGGCACAGAAGTTAAGATCAATTGATTAAAGAGAAAATAAGATGATTCAGAAGGTCATGAAAAGATCCTATGTGCTTAATGAAGGAAACTTGCCACTTCTCTGTGATGAAACACTAGCAATGATACTGTCTAATTAACTACCTTTGTTCACCAATCTTCTGCAGCTTACAGTCTGGGTTTTCTTTATTTCTTTATAGCTATACCATGTGGCATGCAGGATTCCCCATCCAGGGACTGAACCTATGCCCCTTGAAATGGAAGCACAGAGTCATAACCACTGGATCACCAGGGAAGTTCCAACAATCAGGGTTTTCTGTGTAGTTTTACTCAATGAAAAATGGGCTCATCAACCCCCACCCTATTATGATCCTCTTTGGGATTAATATATCAGCATTCTGATTTACAAATAACCTTCTGTGTATTGAATAATGTGCACCTCTCCTCTACAGATGAGTCACCACCAAGCATGTTGATAAATATTGCTTCTAGTTTTGCAAATTAGAGCATTAGACTCTGAAATGTACCACATCAAAGTAGCATCACCTTTGTAAAACTTCTCTGAGTGTCTGTGTGGGGTGACATTTATGTTGCTCATCTCTTCAAAACACAACACAAGCTGTAAAAATATTGGTAGATCCACTCACTGTTATTCCGAGACCAACAATGCTATTAATAACACAACTTCAATACAGAAATGGGAGAAAAAAGCATGTTCTTAGCATTAATGAAGAATTAATACTGAAATCATCTAACAGATCACAGACATGCAAATAATTCACTGCCAAACATTTTAAACATCTTAAAAACACAACAAAATTTAAATTAAATGATTTTAATTCAGAATGTGAAAAAAAGTTTTTTAACTTTGTGGGGGGAATATGTGGTAAAAGTGTTTTTGAGTAAAGAAGCTTTTTCTGTACTTTCAATATGCTACTTTTAATTTAAGGAAACAATCAGAGAAGGTTCTTATTGTCACAGTGATATTTTAATTTCACCAGTACCACTTTGGCAGCTGCTTTTATTGAACTATATTAATAATCCTCAAATGTATGTTGATTGGCAACTTCCTTTAAGAAATAAAGCCGTTCTGGAAACAATTTTAATGGGATTTTGTTGAATCACCAATTGAGTCATCTATTTTTTAAGGAAAATTTAAAAAATTAGTATCTCCTTTCTGTTATTCCAAGACCCCAGCACTTCACCGTAAACATCATACATTGGCTCTATGAATGCCAAATTCGCAAAAACAAATAATTGCAAATTTAAGGATTTTCTTATTAACCAGAAAATAACTCTTATGAATAAATTATAATAAACATGAAATTATAAAATCAGTTCTCTCACGCTTGTTTACTAAATTGACAAAAAAACTGAAATAACAAAGAAAAATGAATAGTAGTCAAGAGGAAAGAAACATTCTTGGGAAAAAAAAAGTCATGTTAGAACTACATATGAAAAATGCAAAAAATTGTCTGGAGTTAACAGAAATAGAAGAACAATGGACAGTGATCCTAAGTAATTTTCCAATTCTAGATAGTCTCTAATATTTTAAAAACTCACAGAAAGTATATTTTGCTTTTAATTCTTTTAGAACCAGCTGGTAATATGCTAGAAGCTCATGCATAGTCATCATACTACTTGTGTAGTAAACAAGAAAGCATGCTTGTGTATCTAGAAAAGTTACTTTGAAATTTGCCAAAACTGACATGATGCTTTTGCGAAGCCAAACATTATCTGTTTGGCTCTTGGTGTAACAAGTTAAGTTTTAAAGGCTTTTGAGGACCCATGCTTATGCTGGTCTTAAATGCATCAGTCTAAAGGTAGGACTTAGTATCTGAAATACTGTAAAGTGAATTCTAAAAAGAGCTTAGAAAATTGCTTTAAAAGGTTTACTTTACTTTTAAAAGCATCTGTTGCTCCAGGTGCATGGTTTTTGTCTGGATGAAACTTCAAAGCAAGCTTTCTATAAGCTTTTTTCAAATCTTCATCACCAGCATCTTTGGTTACTCCAAGTACTTCATAGTAATTTTTACATTTGTTTATGCTGTGAACAAGAGAGTGTGTTATAAGTAAATTTCAAGGAAGAACTTTGAGTAATACTAATTTTTTATTGATTAGAATAGTATAAAGAACTATTTGTGGATTCTTTCCTCAATATCAAATGATCGTTTATCCATCAAGGGTTATTGCTCCATTCTCTTCAACCACAGACCATCTTTCCAACCTTTCTCTAACTCTAAGAAGAATTGGCCATGAGAATGTCCTTGTACAATTTATCACAACCACAGGGAAGTAAAGCAGAGCTCATAACAAATATGGATGGAGGACAGAGCACATACTAAAAATAAGAGAGTAACAACAATTTCATAGTACTCTTAAATACCTAAGAAATCCCAAAACTCCTCTCAAGATGTCACACCTAAGGATTAACAGACATTGCATTTCAAGAGTTTTGTTGTTGCATAATGCAAACCTAACCAAATATCAAAGCAACAGATTGGTGCATGTAAAACAACTACTGTATCCTATGGCTTAAATGTCAAAGCAAGTGAATTCAGCTAGGCAATGTTAAAGAGTTCACGTGTATCACTCTCTATGAAAGATAAAATCTCATAATAAAATACATATGGGACTCAAAAACATTTGTTACACCTGATTTTCATTTTGATGAACACACTCTTAAAAGACTACTTACATAGTTTATAACCCTAAATATGCAACATTTAAGCCCAGAGTCTCTGAAGTAGGTTAGAAAGGAAGTACTGTGAATGGAGCAAAGAACATTAATCCTTTTGGATGCTTACATTTTCTCATGACCTAATAATTTTCCTTCACTAAAACACAGATATATTTTACATATTTTTTGGTGTGTACTTTATGACTTTAAATGTGTTCCATGTATGAGTGGCTTGATGACAGGTAGTAAGAGGTTAATGGATCTGAGGCACAATTGTTCACTGACAGCTAGAGGACTGCAAAGACTGACTCTAAGTGTTCAAAGAAAAGAGAAAAGATTGACCTTCTTTCGCTACTAAACCTATCACTGTGCTTGGTAAATATTTATGGAGTAAATGGAGTAAATGAACTTCAGCTTTCCTTTCATAATGATAGCATTCGTCATTTGTTATATGAACAAGGGTAAAAAGAGAACACACTGAAAAGATTATAGAATTCTTTTATAATCACATCAACAAAAATCTGTTAGGCAGTCTTCTTCATAGTAATAATAATGAAAATTAGACTTTTCTACTTTTGATAATAAATACTGACACAAGTCAATTTTATTTCATAAGCATGGCATTTCCTTTATTTAGGAAATAATATTTATTGAGCAATAAATAATTAATATTTATCAACTCATTATTGAGTCAATAATATTTATATCCCAGGGCTTTTGAGATCAGTTAGTGAACAAAACAGAAAATGATTACTCTACCTTTGTAGAGACTCATTTTCCTAGATATGTTAAGAAAGTATGTGACAGAAATAAAGGGAAGAAGGACGTGTACAGAACACCTACTGTGTGTCCGGAAGAGGAGAAATTCTTTGAGAGGTATAAAGCCAATGTCAACAATGGACAAACTGTAGACTACATATTTCAAGTAATGCTAAAAATATATTCATTTACTTAAATTTTCACACCTAAATAAGAAATTACCATTCACGTATTACTTTTAATTCACATATTGTTTATCATACTCTTTTTCACCAGCTAAATGCATTTGTCACACTTTTTATAGTTTGCTCCTTCTTCGCCATCCTCATTGAAGAATTAAAAAAGAAGCAAAGGAAGAATGGAAAAAGAAAATAAATTAAAAAGAGGTAAACTGTTACCTGCACTGGAAGGAAATATTGTGGACAAAGGCCACAAAGATTTGTCTAGGAGCTCAACAAGGGCTCAAGGGCTGCATGGCTCAACTTTTATGTCTTCCTTTACGTGCTAGAAAGCATATTGGCTGGGGCAGGGAGGCCTTGTTCTATTCTTTTTTCATATGTTATAGATGACTTTTTGTTATTATTATTATAGATGATTTTTAAATATACTCCAAATTTAATTGGTATTTAGGAAAATAATTCTTTATTCCTGAGACAAAAGATTACTGATTTTATAAATTTAGCAAAATGACTCATTTCCATTCAAAGAACTATAGCTTAAAAATCAATCCTAATGAAATCCCCATAATTCAAATAATTTTAACAGTTATACGTAAGTGTTCCTAACTGATAAATATAATGATGGCCAATTAATGATTTCACACTGATCTTATATTTTTAAAACAAAAAGATGGGCTTTTTTCACAATGAGATATTAAAAATCTCTTCAAAGAAGATCTATGACACCTTTTGCACTGTGATTTTTCAACACAATACTCAGAGACAATAAACAGTGCTTAGTTTCACAGAATATGAATTTTACAAAGTTACACACTTTTTGTTCAGTCTTACTGTATGCTAGCTCTTACTTATGCAATGGATACAGTATTATTGCATGGCTTCTCCCTTTGAGCCAAAATGTCACTGAGCAACTTGTTTGCATAATCATGCTAACCAACAAGATAACATGGCTTTCTTCAGAAAAATCCCCTGTGTACAGGTAAAACAAAAACACACAGCATGTGTTTGCTGGTGATCTGTTACCTCACTAAAGCAACACTTATGAAGGCTAATATGATAAGTGTTACATGATTAGCTAAAGCTAAGCAACTCTTATATAAAGCAGCAAATGAAACACTCTTAATAACTCAGGGATTCTATTAAAGAATGTTCTGATCATATTAATCCCCCCAAAAACTACATTTATGTAATACAATAAAAAGACATGCTAAAATTGACCAGAGAAACAATCTCTAAACACAGGCATAAAACTACGCTAATTCTTGTAACTTACTAAGAATTCATTCTGAAACTTGGCTGGCTCCTCAGTGCTAGCCAGCAATCCTCCCTTCCTGTCTGCCTTTCTGTCTGCAAGTATTCCATACTTTCACCATTCTTCTCAAGCTTTCAAACTCATCTCTTTCTTCTAACCTCAGAGGATAACTTCATCTCCAATTTCAAAGAGAATACAGACCCAACAGACAGGATCTCTCTCAACATTTTATTTCCATCTGCCCAATACTGGCCATATACAAAAGTGGATCTGCACCCATCATCATCTTTCATTCTTCCATTCTCAAAATGTCCCCCTGCCTAGCTACTAAAAAAGAGAGGAAAACAAAACATCGCTCTTCTTTCTTTATTTCTATCATACCTTGAGCTACTCCTTTTTTCCTTTCAAGGCTAGAGTAGAAGAAATGAAGAAAAGAGATTTTTAAAAAATAATATCAGATTTAGGAGATTCCTATTCTCCAAAATTTCAATTACTTGGGGAAGGGGGTATATTTTTCAATATATAGGTGATTCTATAGTCTTTCTTTAAAAACAAATTATAAAATAATTCTAAATAAAAATCACATATAACAAAATTCACTCTAGGTCTTTTACTGAGAATATGTCCTCCTGGTAAAAAGTAATTTCTACCAGAAAATACAATTTGGTTTTTGGAGAGATACGGCTTCCTGGAACACATTTCAGCACACTGTTTAGTAGAAGCTTTTTCTTAAAGGAATTCAAAAGCAAGTCTCTCATTTATTCACTTATCTCACTTATTCAGCCTGTGACACAACACTACAGTTATAAAAGTGGTCACCAACATTATTTATAATTCTTAAAGGACTTCACTACCATTCAGGCCAATCGAATACCCTTTACATGACTTCATCATAATTAGGGAGTCTCTGTTCTTATTGTGGTCACATACAGATAAAATGTTACATTTAAACTTTAGCATAGGTATGAAAAAAAGTAAAAATACATTGATACTTAATTAAAAGATAACTTCCATTCCAAATAATGCTGAGTTAAAAAGAACTAACTAAAAATAAGAATGGAGTAAAAAAGGAAAAAAAAAAAAAGGAAGTCAGGTTAAAAGAGGATAAGAAAGGGCAAAAGAGAAAGAAAACTAGCTTTACCTACTCTTCACTTAAGCTAGTTCACTGCTATTCACTCTCCAAGTTGAACTGTCTGATTAATCACTGTCCAGAGTCCTTCACCCTTATACTTTAGATTTCCTAGAGAGCAATTTCAGTACAACATCAATACAGCCTCCTTAAGCTGTAGAAGGGAATAATAACAGTATTTTTTCTAGTGTTTCATAGTCAGTTCATTTTCTTTCCAGAAAACATTTTCTTAATTACAAAATTAATAAAAGTTAAATCTCCAAAACTCAGTTCATAATTTACCAATTCTACCTAGTTTTTTTGCTTTAAGTAGAGGTGTACCATGAAGTAAAAATAAAACACTGAAGCAGAATAATGAGAGTAAGAAAAAATATTAAAAGGAGAAGACATAGTATTTGCTATATATAAAGACAGCCTTAAAGAATATAAATAGAAAAAAAAATTATCCTTCATTTATATAAGTAGAAAATTGAAAATGCTTTGCAATTGCGCACAATATGCTCCTCATATGAAATTATCCTTCATACACATATATACACATTTGTTGTTGTTGTTTGGTTTTTTGTTTGTTTGTTTAGTTGCTAAGTCGTGTCCGTCTCTTTTGAGACCCCCTGGACTATAGCCCACCAGGCTCCTCTGTCCATGGGATTTCCCAGGCAAGAATACTGGAGTTGAGTTGCCATTCCCTTCTCCAGGGGCTCTTCAGCCCCAGGGATAAAACCCACGTATCTTGCATTGGCAAGGGGATTCTTTACCACTGAGCCATCAGGAAAGGTTTCACTGTACTGTGTCAAAAAATTGAAGCAATTTACCTAAAAAAATTTTTTTTTGTAATTGGTTTTGTGCCTTATATTTAAAATATGGAAATTTCAATAGAATTGGTAATTTACAGTACTTTATAAAGAATATAAAGCATAAGACACCAAGAGTTCAACTCCTCAATGTCTGTTCTTCTATTGAATTGTAATTAAAACCCATTTTTTAGGTGTTACAACATTAAATTTACATTAGTATCAACTACAGCTGACACATATAAATCATATTCATTCCTACCTGAGAACACCATCTACTTGGTCTTTGGTGTAGCCTTTTCCACTTTCACCACTACCAGATGAGCTGTCCTTTGTGCAATTAGGTTTGCTTTGATCACCACTACCTGATGGTTTTCGGCAACGAGGGCTATTTCCAGCAGTGCTTCCATTTTTCATGATTATTTCCAACAGTGCTGTAGAAAGATATGGAAAGCATACTCCATCTGTTTACATCAAGGTACATACACATAGTCTTAAGAAGAAAGTTATAAAGCTGACAAAATGTGTACTCCAGGAAGATACACCACAGGGCATTTTTAAATAGATAGTAAGCATTCCCTTATGTACTTAGCTGTTCACAGATCACTAATCACTATTTAGAAGTAGAATAGTAAGTTTAATGTTAATAACTCAAAATTACTATCACCTAATTTCTTATGACATACTTTATTTGTAATAAAATGGTGAAACTGCCAAATACCAAGGAAAACAATAATCCTTAAAGTAGCTGATGAGATAATCTACAAAGAAACTGCCAAATACCAAGGAAAACAATAATCCTTAAAGTAGCCGATGAGATTATCTACAAAGAAACAAAGTCTATAAGTAGACTTCCTACTTATTTCCCAACAGCAACAACGGCAGCTAAATTGAGAAATAGCTTCAAAATGCTCAGGGAGAATAACTGTCAATTTGAGTTCTGCACTGCTGTTGCTGCTGCTGCTGCTAAGTCGCTTCAGTCGTGTCCGACTCTGTGCGATCCCATAGACCGCAGCCCACCAGGCTCCCCCGTCCCTGGGATTCTCCAGGCAAGAACACTGGAGTGGGTTGCCATTTCCTTCTCCAATGCATGAAAGTGAAAAGGGAAAGTGAAGTCACTCAGTCGTGTCTGACTCTTCACAACCCCATGGACTGCAGCCTACCAGGCTCCTCTGTCCATGGGATTTTCCAGGCAAGAGTACTGGAGTGGGTTGCCATTGCCTTCTCCGGAGTTCTGCACTAATTTTCTGGAAATTATATAAGATTAAAAACATTTTCAAACAAACAAAGACTGAGAAAATTATCACTAAGATTTCACTAGAAGATATTTACTACCTTGAGATGCCACTGTACATCCACTAGGATGACTATAATCAACAAGGTGGACAATAACGTGTTGGCAAGGATGTATTACTAGGAAAATTACTAGGAACACTCATATATTGCTAGTGGTAACAGGAAATGGGGTGCTTGCTTTGAAAAAAGATTTGGTAGTTCTTTAAAAGATTAAACATATAGTTATTATCTGACCCAATAATCCTATCTCTCGGTATATATCCATGAGAAATGAAAACATACACGTATACAAAAACTGGTTCACAGATGTTCATAACAGTATTCTTCATAATAGGAAAAAAGTGGAAACAACTGAAATGTCCATCAACTGATGAGTAGATGAATAAAATGTGAAATGTCCATACAATGGAGTACTATGACAATAAAAAATAATGAAGTATTATATGCTACAATATGGCTGAACCTTGAAAACATACTAAGTGAAAAGTCAGTCACAAGAGACAATATACTGTATGATACCATCTATACAAAATGAACAGAATAGGCAAATCTAGAGACAGAAAGATCAGTTGTTGCTAAGGGCTACAGGGGAGGAAAGGATGAAATTGGGAGAAGTAAGAAGTGATTGCTAGTGAGTATGAGGTTTCTTTCTGTGATGAAGAAAATGTTCTAGAATTAATGGCTGCAATGGCTGCACAACTCTGTGAACCCACTGAATGGTATACTCTGAATGAGCTGTGAGATATGTGAATTACATCTCAAGAAAGCTGCTGTACATCTTCCCTTGTAGCTCAGTTGATAAAGAGTCTGCCTGCAATGCTGGAGACCCGGGCTCAATCCCTGGGTCGGGAAGATCCCCTGGAGGAGGAAATGGCAACCCACTCCAGTATTCTTGCCTGGAGAATCCCACAGACAGAGGACCCTGGCAGGCTATAGTCCATGGGGTTGCAAGGGTTGGACACGACTTAGCGACTAAACCACCACCACCAAAGCTGCTATATAGATATTTTTAAAAATCCAGCAGTCATTGCCACATAGTCTGTGGGATCTCAGTTCCCTGACCAGGTACTGAACCCAGGTCATGGTAATGAAAGTGCTGAATCCTAACCAGTAGATCACCAGAGAACTGTCAGTAATTATTTTTAATATTTCAGAAAAACATCTGCTTCATTGAATACACTAAAGGCTTTGACTGTGTAGATCACAGCAAACTTCAGAGAATTCTTAAACAGATGGGAATACTAAACCACCTTACCTGCCTTCTGAGAAATCTGTATGCAGGACAATAAGCAACAGTTAGAACTAGACATGGAAAAACGGACTGGTTCCAAATTGGCAAAGGAGTATGTCAAGGCTGTATACTGTCACCCTGCTTATTTACCTTCTATGCAGAGTACATCATGTGAAATGCCACGCTGGATGAAGCAGAAGCTGGAATCAAGATTACTGGGAGAAATACCAATAACCTCATATACACAAATGACACCACCCTTATGGCAGAAAGTGAAGAAGAACTAAAGAGCCTCTTGATGAAAGTGAAAGAGGAGAGTGAAAAAGTTGGCTTAAAACTCAACATTCAGAAAATTAAGATCATGGCATCTGGTCCCATCACTTCATGGCAAAGAGATGGGGAAACAATGGAACCAGTGACAGACTTTTATTTTCTTGGGCTCCAAAATCACTGCAGATGGTGACTGCAGCCATGAAATTAAAAGATGCTTGATCCTTGGAAGAAAAGCTATGACCAACCTAGACAGCATATTAAAAAGCCAGAGACATTACTTTACCAACAAAGGTCTGTCTAGCCAAAGCTATGCTTTTTCAGTAGTCATGTAGGGATGTGAGAGCTGGACTATAAAGAAAGCTGAGTGCCGAAGAATTGGTGGTACTGGAGAAGACTCGTGAGAGTTCCTTGGACTGCAAAGAGTCCAACCAGGCAATCCTTGAGGAAATCAGTCCTGAATATTCATTGGAAGGACTGTTGCTGAAACTGAAACTCCAATACTTTGGCCAGCTGATGAGAACTGACTCACTGGAAAAGATTCTGATGCTGGGAAAGATTGAAGGCAGGAGAGAAGGGCACAACAGAGGATGAGATGGTTGGATGGCATCACTGACTCGATGGACATGAGTTTGAGCAAGCTCCCAGAGTTGGTGAAGGACAGGAAAGCCTGGCATGCTGCAGTTCATGAGGTTGCAAAGAGTTGGACACAACTGAGTGACTGAACTGAACTGAACATATAAGAGAAATTTCTTCCAAATCTTTTTCATAGCTCATGCATTCAAGAGGTCACCAAATACATAAGATATTTAGTTTTTATAACAATTTAGTTGTAGATGGTATAGAAAGGCTCTTAATTAGCTAGCTACCTAGTAGTTTAACAAGATAATAACATATAGTTTATTTTTAACTATAGTTCACATTTAATGCAATCACATTGACCTTGAGAGTAGAAGCCATCATAGTTTAGGGGGTAGTGGTTCACAACTTACTACTATGAAAAGTTCTGTGGAAATTCTGGGAAGGCAGAAGCTTAAATTTTAAATCTCATAAAACCAGAGCAGTTAGGTAACAAAATCAAAACATCATGTACAAAATCCCAAAATACAAGAAGCTGGGACAAACCACCAACAGTTGCAAGATCTATATGGGTATTAGTATTTGTGTGGGAAAATACAGATAGTAACAGGGCATTTTATCAGCCCATAGAACAAAATAACTCCAAAAGAGCCAGCAAGGACTCTCTATGAAACACAGCAGGCAAAAATGAGAAAAGGGAATAAAAAGAAATGGGTTTTGCTCACTACAATAGCATGTGATTGAAAGGATCTATAATAAAGTCTTAAGAGCACACAGTACTCCAGTCACTAGAAGTCTTAAAACGAATCAGTCAAAGCTCTTCTCTAGAGCAAAGCCACATAAAGAAGAAATTTCTAGGAACAGGATCCAAACTGAAGAGGATAGGGGAATGGAGAAAAGAAAATAGAAAATTCAGGTCACATGAGGAAGGAGAGCGTGAAGAGATCTTATATATCAAGGTGACATATTTTCAAACACTACACAGAAACTGGAGATCTCTGTGTATTTTGACAGACTAACTTCATATAAAAATAAATAAAATGATAAAAGTTAAATCTGATACAAAGTCACAAAAGATAAAAGAAAACAGGACAGATCTCCAAACACAATGAAAGCACACCACAAAGACTTGCAAACAAAATAGGTAACACTACAACCTACTATTTCAAAACAAGCTGAAAAGACTTTTTAAAATTATGCACTATACAAAAGAACAACATAAATTTGAACAAAAACAACCCCCCAAATTATCTACCCATTACTTAAGTGATAAAACTCGGGGTGGGGGGTGGTAATAAAAGGAAGAATCAATTCAAAAAAGAATTAAACTAGAAGAAACAAAGAGTTAATAAACACAACAGATAATGTTGTCTAGGTAAAAGAGAACATAAAAAGGAAGGAAAACTTTTTAATTAAATGAAAAAGACAAAAAATTAGAAAGAAATGGCAAATATTGAAGTCAGTTAGAGAAGATCCAACATACACAGGAGTCCTGAAAAAGAAAATTAAAGGAAATAAAACCAACAATAACTAGAGAAAACTTTTCTGATATAAAAATAAAAATATCTGAAACCAAATAATGAAAGGGTAAATTACATATCTAAGAATACTGACCCCAAAAAACCAACATCAAGATATATTCTAGTAAAATTAACTGGGCATCTAGTAAAAAAGATTAAATGGCTTATAAAGGAAAGAGTATTAGATTGTCAGTCTTTGCTCATCAGTAGTACTTGTATAAAACAATAGAATAATATACTTATATATCCAAAGAAAGAAAATTTGAGCCAAAGATTTTGTATCCATCACTAACTTCAAGTATTAAGACCCACAGATGAACTGTTTTCAACATTCCCCAAAACTTAGGGAACACAGTTCCCACAAGGCCTTCCTAGAAATCTACTATAGGCTTTAGGAATCCAAAATAAATAGATATACAATGACAAAAGGACCAATGGTAAGCATTAAATGTACAGTGACTTACTGAATTAAGACTGAATGACAACTAAAAGAGAGTACATAGTATATAGTGATAATGCGCTCTGACACTGTAGATAG